GAACAACACTGTAAGCATCTCTGGATCTGGCTTCTGTTGAAATTCTGATTTTGTTCCAACCCTGTTATGATACTATCCTACTGTCTGAAAAAATAGGTCTTAGTCATTGAAATGAAAAGGGCATGAATTTGTTTTCTTCTGGCTACAGCTATTCTGCCTAATTTTGTATCCTGAATTCAAAATCATAACCTAGGGCAATGTCCCATTGATGTTGTATCTACACGTACAGGGTAGATCTATTCTGGACTAATTTTGATTCAGTGATAATTTCAGTTGCCTGGGGGTGTTTTCTGTAAAGATGTGCAAGCAATTTTTTATGAAATGAAATGAATTTGAGATTACAAATAAAATAGGAAATAGGAAATTTCAGTCATGTAACAGTACTAAATGCAATATATAGTGCTACAAATAAAGAACAAATAATTAATAAAATAATGCTACACAACATAAAATAATAAATGATACTATAGGAAGAAGAAGGCTACAGAACTAGATTTGTTCAGCCTGGAGAAGAGGCTGAGGGAATATAAGATATCTATCTAACTAAGACATGGAGGTTTAGGTTAGATATTAGGAGAAAGATTTTCACACAGGATGGTGACCCACTGGAACAGGTTGCCCAAGGAGGCTGTGGATGCCCCATCCCTGGAGGCATTCAAGGCCAGGCTGGATGTGGCTCTGGGCAGCCTGGTCTGGTGGTTGGCGACCCTGTATATAGCAGGGGGTTGAAACTAGATGATCTTTGTGGTCCTTTTCAACCCAGGCCATTCTATGATTCAATTATGATTCTATGATGATTGTGATCTACAGAGCTGGCCCTGCTCTGTAAAGAGGCTGGAATAGATGACTGGCAGCTGTCTGTTACACGTAAGTTTGTGGGTCTTGTCTCATATCCCGTCTCTTCAGAAAGATTTCAATTTTCTTTTTGTTCCAGTCATTTCTAGTGTGCTTGCCTCTTGGTAAATGAACACAGGCATTCCCATCTTTCCCCACCTCAGGGAGCTGCTTTTTTGATAAATGAGTCAGCATCAGGTCACCTGATGGAGAGGATGGGGCTGGAGCCAGGGCTCAATGGGATCCAGAGAATCACAACCTGTGGCAGCTGGGAAGTGGTCTCCCTCAGGTGATACTTAAGTTTCAAATACTCCTCCTATTCAAGGATTCCTCTTCTGTATGTGTTAAGGTAGCTGTAAGCCAGTTTTAAAGAGCATGGTGACCTTTTCTGTAGGGAAATCACTAATTACATGCATCCTCAGTAGCGTTAATGGGAACTCAAATCTTAGCTGCTCGCAAAGGTCATAGCTGTCTCTCAGTGAGGGCAATGTGGAAAGTTGCCCTCATTCACTCACAGTCAGTAAAACTAACAACTAGAATGATATGTTAACAAAGACTTATTTCATTTGGACTTCCCAAACAGCTATATAGTATAATATGCATGCTAATGAACTGTAATTTACAGTTAATGACATGCAAGAAACAGATCGTTTTTCAAGTTTATGTACAGAAGCCATCAGTTGATCAAATTATTAATTGGGGCAATGCTGACAATATAAATACTCTGCTTGCCAGTTGGTCTGATTATAACATAATATATACCTAATGCATTGGTACATATTTTTCTTAGTTCAAAATCAGCATGTTTTTTCATTTGGTGAAATGCTCTTTAGTAAGATAGAAATTAAGGCCCTTTTCTGTTGGAAGTAGAATGTGAAGTTATAGCAAAGCATGGCTGGTAATTCCTCTTTGTTAAGAACTGGAGTTAAGATACAATTTGAATTGTAGCCGAAAATTTTTTTCAGTCTATGACTTAAATTATTACAAAGTTGACAATTTGTAAATGATTATTGTTTTTGTTTTCCATGACTGTTCTTACAAATTAATGATACAAGTAACAGTTATGTGTCAGCAGGCAGGAGTTTGGCACTCAACGAGTTGCTCAGACCTTCCAATCTGTTACATAAGAGCCACATTGATCTCTGCAGAAGGAATGAGCCCTTCAGTTGGGATATACAGAGAGACCTCGTTTAAAGCAATAGAAATACTTCCACTGGTTTCAGTCCATGAATTAATCAGGTTTGCAAATATATAGGAAGTTAAACGGAGCTTTAAATAATATCTGTAGAAATAGTGTTGTTGTTTTAATTCTCTGATTAAAGAAAAACATTAAATAACCATTTACCTAACTGGCCATTGTTGTACATACCAATGTTTGGGTAAAAGATAACTATAAGGAAAGAGTCTTTGGTAATTCTAGACTCCCACAGATGGTGTTAGCATCCTGCCTAGCCTATCTTTATGTAAACAAGCTGTGTACCTGATAAGGTAGCCCTAAACCATTTTCAAGGATTATAGGGACCTTTCGCACTGGGAAGGCTTAAGGATACCACTATGGGACAACAGAACAGGAACAAAAAGAACTAACTCCTAGTACGTGTATGAACATGGAATAAGTCTGATTAAAAAGACATTAATAACCTTCATATGCAGGAAAGCATTTCTGAAGGAGTCAGAAAGGAGCCAGCTTCAGCAAGGATCACATAGCTTATGTTTACACTGTGCCAACAGCACAGGCCCACCTGGGCAGTTTGCAAAATGGAACATTATTGACATACATTTTAAGTTCTAATTCAGCATGCTGCTATCAGATTTACCGTAACTATGAGTGGGAAGCTATAATGAAATTATTTTTGGATATGCAGAACTTTAAGACAGATTAATTCTTCTCCTTCTCTTGTCATATTGCTTTGATTAAAAAGCTTATTAAAAATGGTCACTTCTATCGCGTTCTATTCATTTATTTCCAAGTGCACTGGTGACAGCTGAGAAATTAAACAAACCAGGGATTTCAGCTACAGGGTTTTATTTAGCTGTCCATACTACACAGATTTGTACAGGTTCTTATATGCCACATAGAATCAGAATTGTTGGAACTTACATGATTTCCATCAGGTGCAACCAAGTTTTACATCAGTTGCAGTTAAGGGGTTGGAAAATTTAGAAGGAAAAATCAGATATTGTGTTGCATAATAAGATGTACTACAGAGAAAGGTTTCTAAAAATGTTGTTTATGGGACTAGTATGAATCTTAGGTATTTGTTCAAAAGGTAGACTGAGAATCTTGTATCTCTCTTTTAGAAATTTATAAACAAGAAGTTATTTGTTTGTAGTGTGCCTCACACCTGATTCATTTGAAGAGAGAAGAAATAATATAGATGGTCATGAAGCTCCTGGCTGTATAAGTAATTCTGATCATTCGTGGGTGGTTCAACATCCAAGATTTCTGTAGCAGAAGTCTTTCAGCAAGAACTTAATAGCATATATTGTGAAAGAGAGCAAAGTGCTTTTGAAGCTATTATTGTGCTATCTTTTATTTCTCATTTACATTTCAAAACATCTCCTATTTGTGTTCTGATTGCAAACATAAAAATGCAAAAATCAAGTAAATTCAAAGAGAATTCTAAAATTGGGAAGAGCTTAAAAAACACCCCACATACTCAGGGTATTAAAAAATACCCACAAATATTCAGAGGTTTTCAGCTAGAATAGGATGCAACACCATTAAATAACAAGCTTTCTTTAATGTTAACAGACCATCATCTGTCAATTGGAGTAACCACAGAAATCTTTCATTCGGTGCTCCTTGGATACTATGATGCCTTTCTGGTGTCTGATGAAATTGTAGCCAAAACTTTCAAGATCTGCAGAGTGGATTTCTTGGACAAGCAGTATGGGGGCAGAAAGTGGGTACCAGACTACCATCCTTAGAGCAGCAGATAACATGGTCATTCATAGTCTAGGACATGGGAGGCCATTTTACTTCTCTTTTCTTGATGAGGGCTCTACTAAGTAAGCAGAGGCTTAGTAAGTAAGCTACTAAGTAAGTCCCTTAGTAAGGGACTGGCCTTGCCCCTCTCTTGCATTTATTAGAGGGAACAGCCAGGAATAAGAATCACAGAATTGCAGGGGTTAGAAGGGACCTCAAGAGACCATCGAGTCCAACCCTCTGCTGAATAAGGTTCAACACAATAGGTTGCACAGGTAGGTGTCTAGATGAATCTTGAATATCTCCAGAGAAGGAGACTCCACAACCTTTCTGGGCAGCCTGTTCCAGTGATCCATCACCCTTATTTTAAAGAAGTTCTTCTGCATGTTTGTATGGAAAAGGAAGGGGTTGTTTACTTTATTGCATATGTTTGCAATATTGTATTAATTCTTCCCTCACACAGCATTTACCTGTGTGCATATCTGGGCTACTGGAAATGTTAATGTTGATTCTGTCCATGGAAATCTGACTCCTGGGGTGACTGATAGAATGAGCAGTTGCATGAGTTCTTCAAAAACCTTTTTCTGTTTTAAACAGATGTTTAAACATAAAGTTGATTTCTTGCATACCTTGATGGCATCTAATGAAACTTTTTCAGCAAAGCTTAACTGACACTGGTATAGAGCAAGATCGTAACTGGAGTCATTAGTGAACTTAAAGAAAAGTGTCTTCCAAAATAATTAAACAAATAATGGGAACCAAAACCTGTCAAGGATTGTTATATTCAAAATTCACTGTTTCTGGTGCTGGCAGTCCTTGAGGCAAACTGATGATGGGAAGAGGCTTTGGGCAGGGCAGGTGTTATGTGATACTGCTCTGGAAAACTCCACCAGCATTTTGGCAGTATCACCCATCACCTGCCCTGCCCAAAGTCTCTGGCAGAGACAGGGCCAGATAAATGACATTTCACAAGAATGGATGTGAATAAAAATTCTGAATTTGCTTCAGTAGTTGTCAATATATCTTGGCTTACCCATATGTAGGAAGTAATATGATATTGCTATCAACTGGAGATAAAAAAATGTGAGGAAGAGGGTTTTTTTTTAATAGACACTGTGTTGTTGAAATTTATACTTGGGCCTCTCTTACCTTGGATGGGGAGAATGTTCATACTTGGAAATTCATTTCTAACACAATAGGCAAATTCTTAGTAATTTCTTTTCAATGTAATTTTTAGGACTATCAAGAAGCTTCTAATTTGGAGCAGTTTGTGACTCGCTTTCTCCTGAAGGAAACGCTGAACCAGCTCCAGTCCCTCCAGGCTTCCCTGGAGTGTGCCATGGAAACCACAGAGGAGCAGACTCGGCAGGAAAGGTTGGTAGCCAGCATGGGGAGGGGGCCACCACAAACCTCTCAGATATTTTGTGTTTCATCCAGCACCCTGATGCAGGGAATAACAGGAGAAATAAGATTTCTTTTTTCATTCTCCATAGGAACTCACTGATAGTTTTCTTCAAATTGACTACAAGAGGTTTCCACTCTGATTGTAGGTCAGGCTGCATGTAGGAGTGAGAAAAAGCTAAGCGTGAGAGCACTTTATTGCATCCTAATCTTTGTTCCTTTGACCTCTTTTAAAATCCATTGATTATTTAATATCAAATGCAGAAAGATCAGTGCAACGTGTAGAACTCTGAAATAACCAAGGTCACTGCCTGCCTCTTTGTTTGCTTCTTCTGGCTTTATGATTGTTGGTTTTTTTATTCCTGGTTGCACAATATTCCCAACATGAAGAAGAGAAACAGCCAGCTTCTTGCTGCAACATGAGGCCTATAGTATTGGTTCACACCCAAGTCTATGAGCTCTATATCACCTGGATAATCAATATCCAGGTTTAGCTGAATTTAATGGGATCTCTTCATAGATGAGAGTCTGTAGGATCAAAGGCTGCAATATTTCTGAAAGGGTGCCTAGCTTCATGGACTTGTTATCCTCAGTATGTTATTATAGAGATGAAAGGGAGAGCAAAACACAAGCCATTGTGTTCCATTGGCTAAGATCTCAACACTTCTTTATGTTGTAAAATGTGTTGCTTTTTCATACTGTCATTCTCTTAATTGCTTTGCTGTTGATTCTGAGATTCCTGAAGTACACGAGTATCGCACTCAGGTTTTGTGCCACAGCTTGACCACAGGAATCACACAGGTTTTAAAAAGTGTACAGAGCAGGCACAGCACATAAACCCCTCTATTTGCACATACATCTTTCTAGGCTCCCCACACCATTGGTGAGAGAGAAAGAAGTCTCTAATGGCCATTTCAGAGCTGGAGGCTAATTTGGGTGCTCTAAGCTATCCTCTGCATTAATTACAAGTTGACTTGCCTTCTAGGACAGCATATCTAGCCTTCTGAGTCCTTGTAACTCAAACAACTACCTTGGATGTGTAAAATTGGGCAATATAAATATCCTTTTTGTTGCCAGATTTCTCTTCTGTATTGACTGCCAAATAGGGCATTACAGAGAGTTCTTCCTCCAGTTTTACCACTACAACTGTTCAGAAACATCCTCTTGGATAGTGTGCCATGGCAAAAAAAATGAGAAGGAGCTGTGAGCTGTTGAGCCAAATATCATCTTCCTTGCTTTCTGAGGTAGCAATAGAGAAGCCAGGCAAACTGAGCAGTTAAACTACAGCTATTTTGGAGAAAATGTGGTTAGTTTCTAGATGCCTCAGTCCCAATCCAAAATCATCTTCAATTATGCTTGAATTAACACAGGGGGAAACTGCCTGAAGCATAGCCCCAATAAGGCAATCCTAAGCTAATTTAAGTCTTTACACTGGGGAACTGCTATAATTTGGCTTTAGGGTTAAGAGATTTTATCTTGGTCATATGTGGCAGCAAGTGGTACCCAAAAAATACCTCCTTAATACAGTTAAATCTTCCTCAATGTGAACTTCATCCCTCAGTTTCAGCTGCTGTATAACCCCAGTTCTGCAGAGACGGTACCACAAGATGACACTGCAAGGAGGGCTCCTCAGGCTAGGTCAGAACCATGACACTGACAGCCCTCAAGCTTTCACTCTCAGAAAGATAGGTTTATGCCATCTTAACCCTCCTTTTTTTTCTTGTTTATGACAAGCAATGTGGTCATTAAAGTCATTAAAAACACAAGTAATTATTTGTAGCAAAATTATCTGGAAAAGAATTCAGTAGTAGCAATAGATATTTCTAATTTATTTTTTCTTAGTTTAAAGTGGCAGGTACAAAGAGATGAAGGAGATGAAGACGTTTCTGAAAACAGAAAGAGGAGACATGCTCTCTCACATGCGTTACCTTACGAACTGTCCTGTGTTCCTGTGCAGACAAGGTCCAACAAAACCAGAAGTGCTCTCAGTGCAATGGCCAGGAAAGCGCTCAGCTCGAAGGCTTCAAAGGAACAACAGCCTATCGCCCAGTAACCCTCAATTTAACACAGGTATGGCATTTCACAATTTAAATGTCTATAAAACACGTATGCATATGTGGAGAAAAAACAAATCTTCACCTCAAAACTTTAATTTATATGTGCCAACTAATTCAGATCCTTTACTGATACAAATCAACTTTCAATTCAATATAGGAGGTACTAGCTCAAACTGTAGCCTAAGAATGGATAAAAAATAAATATATAAATATGGGCCAAACTGGGATATTATTTTGGGTCTATCAGTTGAGTCAGCATTTCTTAATTAATATTTATAGCCTATCGATAAAAATGAAAAAGTGACAGCATAACTTACGCAGAAGCAGAGCTTCATCTTATAATCTGGTTCATCCTGCAGAGCAAAGCATTCCTCTCTTCTGTTATCATCATGACATCAAAACACCAGAGTTAATTTAGAACATAGTTTTCTTTCTGTATTGGATTTCTACTGTATCTTAAGAAGAAAGTAAAACATTTGGACGGACAAAATTATCCTTTACATTTGTTACACCTAAATGAACACTGAAGTGATTGCAGCACGGTCTTCTTTTGAGAAGCAAAATAAATAAGTTGCAAGCTAAGTTAATTTTACAAAATAGATGAATATGGTATGTTCCAGCATTTAGTAATGTTTTCTTCTTCATTACTTCCAAAGGCTGGATTGAGGAAGAGAGCCAGTGGATGACCCAGATAAGCAGACTTCAGAAGCTGATTGACAGGCTGGAAAAGAAGGTGTGCATTTCTTTTCTTCTGCTTGTTCTTTTATTTCCAGCAAAGATTTCTGATCCAATCTGTCATAACCTCCCCTAGGTAAGTTTATTCAGCATAAAGTTTTCTTTATGCAGAAAGTCTACTTCAAATTACCATACTTTCTTGTCTCATAGTCCATGCAATTTAAGACAACATTTTCTTCTTTAAGACCAACAAACAATTGTAAACAAGCAGATTTATTACAACTGAAGTATTACCTGCTCAGTATTGTAAATAAAACTTGGCAGAACAGCCTGGGTTGAATTTAAACACTGAAACACACAGGATTCTGCAAGCAGTGTTTACATTTGGTTTGCAGATAATAAAGAAGACATTTAATTATAATTTCTAGCGATGTAACAATATAATTATCAAAATAATTTTTAAATGGTAAGACCAATGTACATCTGTAGTACTGCCACCCACACTTCTTTTTTATTATTATTTTTTTGAACTGCTGTAAGGACTTAAAGCTTGAGCCATTTGAAGAAGAAGTTTTGGAAGAAAATGCAAGATCTGTAAGTATTTTCCAAGATAATATGTTTTGGTGTATGATTTTCAATGCTAGGTTTTGACGCAACAATCCCAACTTGTCTCTTAAAATTTAGTCTGCAGAATACACTGTGAAAAGGACAACAGAATAGAACTTAAAATACCCATACAAAACTTTAATACTGATTTCTACATTGCTTTCAAAGGATACATTCAAACAAAGACTAAGCTCATGTAAGAAGGAAATAGTGTCACAGCTCCCTGGGTTCATCTGGCCCAACCCCTAATCAAACACGGAAACCCAGAACAGGGTGCCCAAGCCAGTGGTCAGCCAGATTATTAAAATCTTTGATGACTGCATATTTTGATTTATTATAATAAACTTTCTTTAGTTTGAAGTACAAGAAATTCATAGGAAGATACCAATTTATTTATTTATGTATTTATTTTTGCATTAGCACATAATGATCGTTCAACGTCAAATGTCTGTGATAGAAGAAGAAATTGAGGAATTCCGGCTTGCTCTGAAGCAGTATGTGGAGTCTGCTTCTGCTCAGAGTGGCTGTTTGCAGTAAGTACAGCATTACTGTCCGTGGGCTGAATGAAGGGAAGTAACCTATTATCTTGAATAGTCTCTAAGTAGAGATAGATAATTTATGAAGAGAGAATCAGTAGCATCCCCTTTCCTGAATGATTATGCACATGTATTTATACAGAACTTCTCAAATACAACAGAAGCCATAAAGAGATGTCAAAAGTATATGTGTGAACTTCCAGCAGTATCACAAAATCTCATGAATGAAATAAACACTAAGTCTTAAAAAAAAAAAAAAAAACACATTCACACATTCACACTCTTGTGTGTAATCTTCCTGCCCTCCAACTGCTGCTAAGACCATAAAGATAATCCCAGAGATACAGTACCATTTTTAAAGGCTTTGTAGGTCACCATTTCACAGCTTCCAGAAGCTCTTAGAGTAACAACATCTATTGGAAAACTCATCTGCCATCCATCATTTTTTTGTCACTGTCAAATTTTCATTCCTAATAAAGAATGTAAAGAACTGAAAAGC